CCCTGCCCTGCCCTGCCCTGCCCGGCGGCGGCACGACGGCCGCTGGGTGTGAGCGCGCTTCTCGCTACCCGACAGCCGGGCTTTGCGGATCACCCATCCGCTGGTCAAAGTTGGCGGCGTTCAGAGCGCCGCGCTGGTCCAGATTCAAACGCGGGGCTCGCTTGAATCGTCGAGCGGCCCCAGGTCTGCAGGAAAACGTCGCGAAGGCAAGCGGGAGGGAGGGAGGGGATTGTCACTGACTTGCCGATACAAACCTGCTTCAGCGGTCCGTGTCGTCCCACGGCTAAAACGCGGCCTCCATCCCTTCCACCTACCAACGTCTATCAGCCCCGGACTCAAAGCCACGCTAGCCTCCTCCTGCGGTCTGTCGGGCTGGCTTCATGTTCAACTGGCTTGCTCCCTTATTGGGGGACGTTCCTGCTGGTACAACGCCTCGACTCCGTGCGCCATTCAAACGCTGTCTTTACAATCCAGAGCTGCGACGTTTCAAACTCTGCCCGCTGTAACCGCGGTAGCCGACGCTTCCCAAGCAGGGTGATCTCTCGCCCTGGCTTGGCTTGTGGGAGCTCCGCGTCGGGGTTCGGCAGATCCGTCGTTTAGTTCGGAATGCTGACACCTCCTGGCGCAGCCGGATCCCCTCGGCCAATGTGCTTCGGATTTCCTGGGTGATCCCTTCAGTCTAACTGCAATTGAAAATAAACGAGTCACTCTCCTTGACAAGTGTAGATTTGCCCAAGCAAAGAAAACTAAAGAATGGCGTGGCAGTTCACAATTGAAGGTAAACGTACTTACTGTGGTGAGTTTGAATGGAATTCCCGTTTGAATATGAACTGGTTTAATAGTTCTCTTGGACATATCAAAGAAACAAGGTTATTTTTTTTCCCATATTGTGTCTATTTCCTACTTCATGGGTCTTCAGATCTGGTCCTGGAGAGCTCCAGTGTGGCAGGTTCTGTATAGAAATCTGATAGATAGTACTGTATACAGTCAGCCTTTAAATAATCAAGTTGAACACTTTACCCATGATCAAATAAATAATACATAAAATAATAAGTCATCTACATTTGGAAGACAAATCAGTAGGATTGTGAAATAGAATGTGACAAACACAATGTTAAAAACAAAGAGCACTTTACAAGAGCAATAGCTTCTGCTACAACAGCAAAAGAACCATTAAGGATGATGGACATGATACTCTCTACAACAGTGGGAATCGTTTAGTTAAAAAGAAAGAGGAATAGCTGGTTTAAAATTTAAAAGTGCTGGATTCAAAGCAAGGAATGTTGTGTTAAAATTGTGTAATGCATTGCAACATTCTGGGGTTTAAGGGAGTGTCCCACACCGACAGGCTGGAGGAACTGAGTCTCTTTAGTCTGAAGGGAGAGTCCCACACTGACAGGC